GACCATCGAGGAGCATCCTTGATCATTTGGCGAAAAAGCCACGCACGAAACCGAAAAAAGCACACGGAATGGACGTCCGAGCGATGGCGAGCCCCAGACACGCCGAAGATGGCCTCAGGACGCAGGATGCGACACGCCGACGACGCCGCCAAAACGCCCGTAGAGCGCCTCCAGAGGCCCCTCCACAGGGCCCCAGACGCCGGAAATGTAATGGTTTTTGAAGCATGTTTGCGCTCTCGCATGCCACGGCTCCCCACGGTCCCAGAAAGCGTCAGAGGCCCTTGAGATCGCTCCAAGACGGCCGAAGAGGCCCCCAAGAAAGCTCAGAGACGGCCCAGGAGGCTCCCCAGATAATTCAGGAGGGCCTCGAGGGCGCCCCAAGAGAGCCCCAAGAGCGACCCAAGAGGGCCCGAAGAGCGCGACATTTCAAGGTCTCCAGCCTGAAAGGCTCCTAGGACGCCCCCAGAGGCCATCAAGAGGCTCCCAAGCACCCCCGTGAGGCTCCCAAGAGGCCCCCCGGAAACCTGAAGAACTAAGAGCCTATAAATATCTATAGATCCTAGAAAGCCTTATGCCGCCTTACGCCGCCCCTTCCGCCGCCCCCCATTTTGGCACACCCCTCACGCAGATCCTTGCCCTCGGAGTGCCGGGAATGGTGTTCTGAGAGCTTTTGCAAATTCCAGGGCGCGCCCCTCACGCAGATCCTTGCAGGCCGGGGTATGCATCGCCAAGGCGTCGGTAAGTTTCCGCGGGGAGCTACTCGTTTTTGTCGCTTCGCGTGCGCGCGTCGCATCGCCCTTGCATCGGCCTTCGCGCACCGCGCCGCAGCGCTAAGGATGTGGACTGGGGATCCGTCTCCTCGAGGCAGCGAGCTATGCCGCGCTCGTTGCGCAGCCACTCCATGCAATCTCACCGCCGCTGGGCGGCGTCCCTGCGACGCACGGGGCCTCGCGTAAATATACGCTGTTCTTCAAATCGCGTCGTCGCGCGCGCGCCGCATCGCCGTTGCAACGGCTTCCCAAAATACTTTGCGAGACTGCTGTCGTCGTCGTCGTTTTGAGATCAAAATCGTCGTCGTCGTCATCGATATCGTCATCGTGATTTTGAGATCAATATGTTTTGGGTCATGGGTGGGTGGGGCACGTCCAACAGGCTTCAAGTTTGGGCCAGTGGACCGTAAACCGTAAACCCTAAACCGCGCCGCTCGGGACGGCTTCGAATCCAGAGTTGTATGGCATAGTCCAACCTTGTGCTTGGGCTTCGCAGTATCCGCCCGAACATCAACTACACGTCAACGGGAGGCACCTGCAATACCCCACGGGACATCTCGCTTAGATACTGAAGCCGTGCTCAAGATCGACAAGATCTTAAGCGTGCGCGCGAAGCGCACGCGTGATTCTAGGACACAGGGGGGACACGAACCGACATTTCGAGCCCTCGCCCAACAGAGGACCCCAAGAAG